TATCACCCAGTGTGTTTTGCTGATGCTAGCTCCGCTGACTAGTCCACCTCCAGTCTCCCGACAGTATTTCCATCCGGTAACATCGTTTCCCTTATCTCCCTCTGCTCCATTAAGGGCAATGTCGTGCTTAAGTGTGTGTGTGTGTGTGTGTGGGGGGGGGGGGTGATTTGTATCGGTTGGAATCTATATATGTGTGCTTGGAGCCTAGTCCGCTGTCCAAATATCGAGACTTGAGGGCTACAAGTATCGCTGTTTGCATGATCATATTGGCACTGTGATTTGATTGGTAATCGAATGGTTTTCGGATTATTGCATGACAGCTTGATTGTAACTAGGACAACCTATGATGATGACTGAGACGTGCAGTAGAATTGTGTAGGGGTTCAGTTTTTCAACTGTTTGCTTACCAACTGTGACTTGGATTGATCACTTGCTCTTGACATTCGTTTATGCATCTAGTTCAGGGAATCATAATGAGAGATAGAGCATATAGGTAGCCATGTGAGATTTGAGCCTGCTCGTTTCTTTCTTGTGCGATAGTTCCCTCTTCCATGATGTGTAGCATTCACATTGTCATTAGCTAAGATGATGGAGGCATAGGATTAGCCCACGACCAAATTGACTGTCCTTATGTGTCATACCCCCTAGTCAGCCCTTTGAGCCGTGTGTTATCCTTTCTTTCGGTCTACAATGAAAAATCACCCTTTTGCATCTCTTAGAAGGTTCCACAGAGTGGTTTTTACATGTTCTCTGCTGTTTCTGCTAAATATAATGTGAGGGTTGGAGGTAGTTCTTAAAAAAAAAGTTGGGCATGTGTTTGAAAATGTGCATAGGTGGTGGTTCTCTCAAGAAATGAAAACTGAAAAGAAAAGAAAAAAAAATGAATGAAAGAAAAAGAGAGCCACCACCACAAATCTGAATAGTGCCCATTTAAGTAGTGTTTCTTAGAAGTCTGGCTTGGAAATACTAACATTATTGTGACCTCCTTCGCTCTTGTGTTCTACAGAATTTGAGTAATGCATAATGGCGGGAAGAAATTAAGTGGTTTGATTGACTGTGATTGTGTTGGGTTTGGAAATGTGTAACCTTGTGCTATGAATACTTCCACCACCTAAAAGGCCTTTTCCCCCATGTCCAAGACCCTAGCCAGTCATATGAACCTGTGTCTAAGACCTCCGGATTGGTTAGAGGTGACACCCCATATGTGAACTCTAACATTTAGAGGCTGCCTTCATGGTGAAGAGACGTTAGGGATTGAGAGAATAAGCATGCGCATTTTTTCGCATCAAATTGTCCTGACCCCACTGGTCGAGAGTGAGCGATTCATTTTCTCATATTCTCTATACTCTTTTACCCCGGTGAGGACCTAGATTGCTCGGTCTCAATTCTGATATCTTGACTTTTGTGCATGAGGTGACTGTCTTGAGTAAGTGGTTGAGTCAGTCTATGTTTTGTTGATGAACAGAAGGGAGCCTCCTCCTTTACTCGATTTTGCTGCACTCGAATGTCCTCTGTGGTGGTTGTCCAGGTTGCTGTTGAAGTTGTTCATGTGTTGATGTTTGAAAGTCAGTACGATTCACGTGTTCTGTGCCTATAAGAATTGTCCCCAATGTTGGTATGATTGAAATATGCTGAGCTTACCTTGTATCTGACTTGGTTTGCTTGGGGACAAGCAAACGGTTAAGTGTGGGGGAATTTGATGACTTGATATATGCACATGTTTTTGTCCACCATTCTTACACCGTTTGAGTCTTATTTCTCGTGTTTTAGACCAATTTCACGCTAGGTTGTTCTTTTTTGTGATATTTCAGGTCCTAGTACGTGAATCAAGGTTTGGGAATGAGTTCGGGGTCGATTGGACGAAGATTGGACGTTTGGCGAGAAGCTGAGGAAGCCACACGGGCACGCCTAAAAACCCACACGGTCGTGTGACCTGGCCGTGTGGCACCAAATTGCACGGGCAAGCCACACTGGCCGTGTAGGGGACCCCTTGTGGTCGTGTGGAAAGTCCAGGGAGCTCACACGGGCAGCCTGGACATCCACACGGGCGTGTGGTTTTGGCCGTGTAGCATACCTAAAGCCACTTAAGTGAAACGCGGCGTTTTGCACACTCACATGTGCAGCTGGGAAGCCACACGGCCGTGTGGCCTGGCCGTGTGGTCGGGAATTTCTGTGTTTTTTATCCAAATTCGAGCCAAAGGAGAGGGAATCAACTTTTTGGACGAAGATTGGACGTTTGGCGAGAAGCTGAGGAAGCCACACGGGCACGCCTAAAAACCCACACGGTCATGTGACCTGGCCGTGTGGCACCAAATTGCACGGGCAAGCCACACTGGCCGTGTAGGGGACCTCTTGTGGTCGTGTGGAAAGTCCAGGGAGCTCACACGGGCAGCCTGGACATCTACACGAGCGTGTGGTTTTGGCCGTGTAGCATACCTAAAGCCACTTAAGTGAAACGCGGCGTTTTGCACACTCACACGTGCAGTTGGGAAGCCACACGGCCGTGTGGTCGGGAATTTCTGTGTTTTTTACCCAAATTCGAGCCAAAGGAGAGGGAATTGACTTTTTGGAGCAAAAACAAAGCCCTAGAGAGAGAAAGTGCGAAGAACACATCCTAGAAGTGATTTTGGAGCTGGGTTTCATCAATCAAGCTTGGAGATAATCATAGGAGTGAAGATCATAATCCTAAAGCAGATTTTTCCCAATGTTATGAGTATGACTGCTTTGTATTCTGTTTCCCTCTCTCTCTCTCTATGGATTAGAACTCTCTCTCACTTGGGTATGAAGAACCCGAGTTCCATGTGTTAGGAATCTTGATTGTAATTACGTTTTGGATTGTGATATTGCTTGATTATAATCGATTGAAGTATTTTGATTTAGTCAATTGAAGTCTGATCATCTTTTATTGATTTCTGATGCAACCTGAGATAGATAAAATCTGATTAGGTTGTTAGAGCTTCTTCCATCGGTAGTAGTGAATCGATTATACGAGAGTTAGTCGATTCACTGCTTTGTACTGGAATCTAATTCCAATAGTGGAGTTCTGTGTTCATTGCCTCAGCGTTCTATCCCGGTGAAGACTAGTCGTCTGCCGTGTAGTTTGACTGAGAGTGCTTGGTCAGCTTAAGAGATTCCAAGCTACTGTCGGATCTTCCGCAGTATAATTAGCAGTACAGCAAGCAAAAGTAATTACAACTGTGACCTAACTAAGGAGCTAGGGGGACTCATTCCCGAGTGACTCTTCCTATGCTTTTGAAAACCGAACCATTTCCTGCTTTTACTTAAATCAACAATCACTCAACTTAGTTTGCTAGATAACAGATATACACGGAGTAGGCAGTAGATCTAGACCACGGGTTGACAATTAGAGCTTGCCTGTTACTGCATTTCCGGACTGCGATTACACTTGGTCACAGTTTGGTGTTGTGTGTTAGTGTGTCAGCTAGAATGACTCAGATTGGGCCACATGTCCAGACAATAGAAGGTCAATTACAGGTTTTTGCACATTCCTGGGAAAATTATTGATTAGTTGGAGAAGCAAGAAGTAAGGAATTGTGTCTAAATCTTCCCCAAAAGCTGAATACATGGCCATGTCCCATCTCAGTTGTGAAATGCAGTGGTTGGTGAGATTGCTTGGTGACTTTGGTATTGATCATTCTCATCCTGCAGTGTTGTTTTGTGACAATCAGTCTCATATTGTGAGGAATCTTGTTTTCCACGAAAGGACTAAACACATAAAGGTCAACTGTCATGTTATACGAGAAAGAGTTGTATGTGGTTTGATTAGTTTACTTTGAAAAATAATTATATTATAAGTACAATAGAGGGGTAATATAGTCATTTCACATATTATTTAATGGTCAATTAACTGAAATAGTGATAGAAGGGTACATTTGTTACGTGACAATAACTAGGGCTGGAAGTTTGGTACCGGTATTTGGGATATACCGAATACCGTACCGAATTTGTCTATATTTGGGATTGGGATCGGTATATACCGAAATACCGAAATATAAGCTAGTGTGTATTTTATCCTCTCAACTAGACTCTTTCATTCACTACTACGCGACCATCAACCACCAAAAGTGTTATTTAATTATACATAGATCATTACATTACTATTTTCACACTAATATTAGTCGTCTCTCAACCTCAAATTCGTTAAATTAAAGATTACCAATTACAAGAACTTGAAATGTTAGCTCTAGGCAACTCAAGCCTATATGTTTAGCCTCTTTGCCCTAAATTAAACAATAAAATTTAATTTATATATTTAATTATTAATTACAAATGTAATTAATTATGTATTCGATAATACCGATTGGGATACCGAGGTACCGATTGGGATACCGAAATTATTAGGGATTGGGATTGATTTTAGGGTGTAATTTGATATTCGGGATTTCGGTATTTGGTATTGGGATACCGATACCGTACCGATTTCCAACCCTAATAATAACAAAGAGGTCCAAATGTGAAAAAGATATGTTCCTTAACTTTCAATAATAGAAGGGTATAAAGTATAAACTATTAATTGGAAAAAGTAAAAAACAAAAGAGTAGCAGAAGTGGCGGCGTCTTCCAATATTCCACGTCGCCTCGCACTGCCGGTTGATTACAACAGTTGACTCTTTCCCTGCCACCTTCGCCGGAGACGATCCCCCGGATATCTCTCTGAAGATTCCTTTGCCCTCCTTTTTCGGATTTCCCATTCAAAATATATTGTCCCTTAAATCATCCGATTCAATTTATTCACATTTTAACATTCTAGCAGCTGCTGCAATTATCATATACTTCCCCGGAACTCCACTCTCCACTGTAAGCGCCCCATAAAACCAGTAAAAGCTCTTTTCTTTTTTCCTCCCTCCCAGTCACCAATTGCTTTATTGTTATTTCTTTTTGCTTCAACTTAAAGTTCACTCCTTTCAGTTTTCGAGGTCAGTCCGACCCATCCTGACTTGCCCACTCCTTTTGCCTCGATTCGCTTTTCCTCATTGCTATATGTTTCAGGGTTCGGGTCTGAAAGGTAGAAACTAGAAAGGCCGCAACTTGGAATCGGATTGCTACTCTTAATTGGTTTTTGAGCAACTGGGTTTTGTATATTTCAGGAATGATATTGCCAGTTATCTTACTGTTTCTTGCAACTCTGCAAGAAGCAAGTTCCCATGGAGATAATCCCTTGGCGGGGATTGCTATCCACGAGGCAAGATTTGCTCTTGAAGAGTCCGCTTTTATCAAAGCCTCTCCTGGTGTTCTTGGAGCTCAGGTGAAGCAAATAGTTTCATCACAGTTGCGGCATGTAAGTGAATGTTTTTGGATCCTGATTCTTTATGGAAATGCTAATTTTTTCAGGGGGGAAATCCAGAGTGGGTGACGTTGAGTTTCACTTCAGCAAACCCATCAAACGATGATTGGATTGGAGTCTTCTCTCCTGCTAATTTTAGGTAAAGATTGTTCCTTTTCCAGCGGTGAATTGTTTCCTGTTTATTGTGAGAACTCAAGAATACTGAGCTGAGTGTACGCACCAATTTTCATGTTCGCAGTGCTGCCATTTGTGATTCTGAAGGCTCGATGGCTGGTGCTCCATTTTTGTGCACTGCGCCAATCAAGGTTGGCAGGAAATGCTCTTCTTTTTGTTTTGTTTCCCCCATGAGTTTGAATTCACTGCTGAATGTGATTGATGTGAAGTGGAATAAGGTTTGACGTTTTTTCGGTTGTTCTCTTGCAGTTTCAGTATGCAAACTACAGCAGTCCGAGATATAAAGACACCGGGAAAGGTTCACTGAGGCTTCTATTGATTAACCAAAGATCAGACTTTTCATTTGCACTCTTTTCTGGAGGATTATCTAAGGCATGCTCATAACCATTTCTTCATTGGTATTTTACTTGATTATTGATCTTGGTATAGTTTTGACCATTCTGCTGACTTCATTTACTCGTTCTGTTCCATCCTATGACAGCCTAAGCTGGTGGCCGTGTCAAACAAAGTTACTTTTGCAAATCCAAATGCACCACTTTACCCACGCTTAGCTCAAGGAAAGACATGGAATGAAGTAAGCCCAGTCCTCTTCTCTGGAGTATTAACCAATTTCATGAATGTTGGAGGCTATTGCACTATCTGTAGAATGACTAGTCTTGTTGCTTCATGTCCCCCCTAAACCTTTCTTATACTTATGCTTTATGACATAGAAACCACTGGATTATTTAGCTGCGAGCCCATCCTTCCCATATTCATTTTGGATCCAATATTTGTGGTGTTTCTGGTCTTAATTTGGTGCAGATGACTGTGACTTGGACAAGTGGTTATGGCATAAGCTCTGCTGAACCTTTTATTGAATGGGGTCAAAAAGGAGATGTTCGTGTTCGGTCTCCAGCTGGCACTCTGACTATTGATCGTAGCAGTATGTGCGGTGAGTCAACTTATTCCTCCTCCATTGATTACTACATCAGCTAAATTGGACAAACATTACTTCAGCTTGAACAAAATACAGATTCTTATACTGTATTTTGCATTATTATGGGATTTTCTGAATAACCCGATTTATGTCTTTCATAATAGTTTTTTAGCTTTGAAAACATGGACTACTAGTTATACGCTATGTTATTTGGCTGCATGAACTGTGGCTTTCAAACTTTCTCCTTTCTTTCTATAAGTATATAATGATGTCTGATCAACAAATCATATGCAAACAGGTCCCCCGGCAAGAACTGTAGGGTGGCGTGATCCTGGATTCATTCATACCAGTTTTCTGAAGGAGCTATGGCCCAACACCGTGTGAGTTTATACAATGCGAACAAGACCTGCCATTTCCAGCCTAGTCTACTCATTCATGACTCAACCTTATTGATTTGACAGGTATACATATAAGCTTGGGCATAAGTTGTTCAATGGAACCTACATTTGGAGTCCAGAATATCAATTTAAAGCATCTCCATACCCAGGCCAAGATTCAGTACAGCGAGTCGTCATTTTTGGTGACATGGGAAAGGTCAGAAATTTGTTGCATTGAGTATCTATAATCAAGTCAACAAGATAGCATATACAAACCATGTTCTAAGGTGTGTTTCATTCAATGATTCCAGGATGAGCCAGATGGATCTAATGTATATAACAATTACCAGCACGGTGCTCTGAACACGACTAAGCAGCTTATTGATGACCTAAAGAATATCGATATCGTCTTTCATATTGGAGATATTGTGTATGCAAATGGGTATATTTCACAGTGGGACCAATTCACTGCACAGGTTGCGCCAATTACATCAAAAGTTCCTTATATGGTCGCAAGGTAGGTTCGCCACATTGCACATTCCGTTTATCTAATCATATATTAGGTCTCATCCATGAACTTAAAGTTGTTTGATCGTCCTTTCAGTGGTAACCATGAACGAGACTGGCCGGGATCAGGATCCTTCTATGGGACTAAAGATTCTGGAGGAGAATGTGGTGTGATGGCCGAGACAATGTTCTATGTTCCAGCTGAGAATAGAGCTAAGTTCTGGTAAAGTGAAAACAAACAGCTTCCTTCATTCTTCTATTGATGCCTCTTGTTCATCTGCTTGTCAAGAAATATCTCATTTCGCGTTCTTCAAGTTAGTCCTTCAGCTCCTGCTTAAAACAACTAAAATAAACATTGAGGACTCCATTTTTTTTCTTTCTTTTCCTGGTCGGTAATTCTTCCTTGTGATTATGAGAATACTTGGCTTTTGACAGTTCCTCGTTTTTCTTGTCTAAATCTGATGCGAAAATAATATCAATCTCTTAAGTACTTTTGGAATACAGATCATGTACGCACCAAGATTTTTTGACTACTCTTTTAGTTGGTTTTCTCCATGTAAAAAAAAAATATCACCATCTGTCAATGTGTATTGTTGATCGAAGTGTATTCTGGACTTTCACATATTAAACACAAACAACTATATATTAATGGAACAAAAGTAAATATATTTTTACTAGGTTCTTTTGAACCAAAACTTTATATCCTAGCAAAACTCACATTCTTAAATTACATCTCTATAATGTATGAATTGGCGACATCCATCCATGCGTATCTAATATCTTGTTCCTAGCAAGGAAATTAGACATTTGCTGGCCGATTATTGTTTGGTGCAAAAAGTCATTGCCCCCATACGATTTAACTTTCCCTCAAACTGAGATTAGCACTAGTTGCTTCTCTTTTCCAGTCGTCTGATTGTGTCTGTTGAACAGTCTCTCTTTTACTGGTTTTGAAGTTTACCTGTATCCAAGGGTGAACCGTAGAAGTTTCTTTTTGTTTTCCAACCAGGTATTCGACGGACTATGGAATGTTCCGCTTCTGTGTGGCCGACACAGAGCATGATTGGAGGGAAGGGACAGAGCAGTATGAGTTCATCGAACGCTGTTTTGCTTCTGCTGATAGACGAAAGCAGCCATGGCTAATCTTCATAGCACATCGTGTCCTAGGCTACTCATCTGCATCCTGGTACGGTGCCCAAGGATCGTTTGAGGAACCCATGGGAAGGGAGAGTCTTCAGAAGCTATGGCAGAAGTACAAGGTCGATATAGCTTTCTATGGCCACGTGCACAATTACGAGAGGACCTGTCCCATTTACCAGGTAATGGGGAAAAAAGAACTTTTACTTTCAGCAGATGGCGAATGAGTTTCGGTTGTTCATAATTTGATGAGAAGTGGTGGCATTTGGTCGACTTCAGACACGAAATGCTTGCGACCTCCTGCCATGATGTTATTTCTTCTTCTGATAAAAGCTGCTGGCATATTTCTCCATAAATTTGAGCTTTATCAGACTTTTCCAAAATTTAAACTTTTATCATATACTGTGAAGTAGTATTTCATAAAGGGTTGTCCAAGCGAACACTGTAAATTTGATAAACTGCTCACATCATGATGGTTATGGGGAGTCAGTAGACTAGGCAGAGTGTCGTGATGGGTAAGAATATGTTTAAGACAGACAGGGTCATGTCGACTTGCATTTCAAGTTTTGGGTCCTTGGTCACTTTAGATGAGCCGAGTTTGGATCAGATTTACCGGTTAGGTCGACATTTTTACACACCTGTAATTTTTTTTATTAGATTTCAGTGATTCTATTTTTCGTCGTATATTGTGCTGCAGAACATCTGCCTGGACAAAGAGAAGCACAACTACAAGGGCCCCTTCAATGGGACAATACATGTAGTGGCTGGAGGAGGAGGATCAGGGCTGGCAGATTTCACCCCTCTCAACACCACCTGGAGTTTGTTCAAAGACCATGATTACGGGTTTACGAAGCTGACAGCTTTCGACCACTCGAACCTGTTGTTCGAGTATAAGAAGAGCAGCGATGGGAAGGTCTATGATTCATTCACAATCAACAGGGATTACAGAGACATCTTGGCTTGCAGTGTGGATAATTGTTCCCCGACAACCTTAGCATCTTAGCACACGCGGGAAAAAACCATGGCAGGCATTCGGGTTATATAGTATGTGGCCTTTGTATTTTTTAGTGTAGTCAAAGAGGTTTGGCTAGAACTTGTGAACAAAACCACATGCCTTTTGTGTAATTTCTTCATTTGGCATCGAGCATGAATGAGAAATCCCTATAGATGGATCAACTTGTTTTCTGTTTGATTCATCAAGGTTCAAGTTCACTAGCAATTGAAATCATAAAGGGTTGGTAAACTCTCAAAATCCAAGGTCAAATTTTTTTCTTCTTTTTATGACCGACACTTTTCTGATCTTGCATAAACAGAATGAACTCAATTTTTACAATGGAACATCCTTTCAGTATTTGTTTAAATATACATGACTTGAAAAAGAGTATAGGGTGACAGTGACTAATTTAATGTTTGTTTCGGAGTCACATAATATTATTTTATTTTTTAGACGGAATTGATATTCAATTTTATAACTTATGATTGAACGACCGCCACATCATATTTTCAATTGCTTGTTTGAAAAATTAATTAAAATTAATTCCTTATCTCAATCATTTAAATTATTGTAACGAGAAGATTTTTTTACACACAACTAATCAATCACATTGTCGAAGGTGGAACCTACCAGAAAAAGGACAGACAATAGTATGTCTCCTGCGCAGAACCCACACATCAATGCGCATCTTTTAGTATGTGATGACACTTTGTTGTCGACGCACATAGTCTCATCTCAAGAGTGTACGAAGTGTTAAATATCATGACATAAGTCGACGCCAAAAGAGGTAGCTACACTTAAGACTATTTGGTTCTCTCTCTATAAACTTACAAAATTACCTCGCTAGAAACTAACTACTTACTTGCTTTGCCGAGGGGGGGGGGGGGGGGGGGGGCTAACAAGTCCACGAGGCCCTCTGTATTCATGCCACCATGCGTACCTACTGAATGGGACATGCGTCGACCAAGTGAAGGTCTACCCCACATGGGAGGGTAATAGGGCTTCAACAAATTGTGTGTCAGATAGAGATGTAGGCAAAAATCATGGATCACGACAACGATGAAGTACACTGTTAGACCTCAACTTGAGGGATGTGAGATGAATCTAGACCCCCAAGTTTCATAAGGACGAGATTCTTATGAGAGCGAGGGATTTGTGGGCGAGAGGCGAGATCCCACTTTTTTCTTGGCTTGCACATTCCTCTAAAATCTCGTGAGGACTTGTGGCTAGGATGAAGACGAAATCACCCAAAACCTCTCCGAGCTCTTCTTTCTCACTCTACCGTCTCTTACCCTATGTTTTTTCGCTATATAATATGTCTTTGATTGTTCCAAAACTGCCCATAAGTACTTATAGACCAATTCATGGAGTCGAAGTTCACGGCCTTGATTTTGGAGGAGTTCACAACCATGAACTTTGCTCCAACTCGTGAATTGTTGAAAACCTTATGCAATTTAAGGGCAAGGTCATGACCTTAACCTGGCCGTAATCATGTTCACGGAAAAATCTCCACTTTCACGTCAATGAACTTTTATCGTGCTCATGACCTATTTCATTCCTATTTGATTTCGATGTGATTTTAGAGTGCTTTAGGCAATACATGCGAATTAGGTACAAAATAAGGACACAGGTGTAGCAAAGGGGGCAGAAGACTGAAGATCGCAGCCTGGAGATGGAGATCATGACCGAGATCATAGCCTACGCATCAAGATGAAGATCCCGACCCGGAAGTCCTAGATTGCGGCCACGAATTGGAGGGCTCAAGGCGCGAACTTCGTGAAGAAGCAGCAGAGGAGAAACAGAGAGTTTCCCAAGCCAGAACACGACCATAGTGCAAACTGATCGCGAGGAAGTTTGCGGCCGCGACTCGTGGATCGTGACCGCGAAGTCGGCCCGTGAACTCCTCGTCCCCGAATGCCGAAACGGCAGCATCACAAGATCGCGACCCCCCATGAAGAAGATCGCGCCCGTGATCTCAACCCTGCCTGCCCGCGATCTTCTCCGTCCTCTAATGCCTATAAGTAGAAGACCCCTTTCCCCCCATTCAAGTGAGCTGATTGTGAGAGAGAATTTATGGTTTTAGAGACAGAGAAGAAAGAGAAGATGAAGGAAGGAGAAGGAGCTAGAAGAGAGGAGTCATCTTTCTCAACATCAAGTCTTCTTACATCTCTTCTATGTATCTTCTTCACTCCTTTATGAAGTAGTCCTCTAAGGTAATGGGGGTTCTAAACCCTAAACCCTAGTTTTAGGGTTACTATGTATGTATAGATATTTTAGGATTTTAATGAATGAATGTGTTTATCTAGTTAATTTGAATGTTATTCTATATTTGATTGTGTTTGGGTAAGTCTTCCTAATCTTCTCTTCTAGCCTACTTGAGCTTCTACGCTGGGTATGGAGTTTAGGGTTATATAGGTATGCGCCATCAAGCAAATTGAGGTTAGATGTATGAATAAGATCCTATGGTGGTCGAGGAGACCGAACCCCTGCCATAGGAATGCCTCGGTGTCGACGGTGGTTAGTACTCATTGAAAGGAGCTACAAGCTTAATGCCCCATATACGATAGCCTATCGAGGTGAATTACATGGGTTTAGGGGAGGCGTACTCAGAGGCGTGTGGATAACCACGAAAGCCCATGACAAAGAGCTCACTCACCATATTGCATAGTAGTCCTAGGCTAGGGTGAGGGATAGTTCCCCGAAGTATCTGCTTTTATCTTTATTTGATCTCTAGACTAGTTAGTTCGCTTATATCCTCCAACACAAACCCTTAAACCGATCGACTAGATAACAACGTGGGAAGTAGGCTAGGGTACCAGGACCCGAGTGAATACGACCTAATTGCCACTATATGAAAACACTATTTTAGGTTAAACTTGGCCCAGGATGGGACATCATTGACAATAATATGCACGGATGAAATCGATCAATACCTCACACGTAAACTTGAAAAGCTGCAACCCACTCTATTTACTTTGTTTTAAGTTTGGTTGTGGGAAAACTGACTCGCTACGATACAACACCAAACTGAGACCAAGTGTAATCGCCGTCCGGGAATGCAGTAAAGTGGCAAGTTCTATTATCAACCCGGGGTCTAGATCTACTGCCTACTCTGTGATTATCTATTATCTAGCCAACTAAGTCAAGTGATTGTTGTTTTAAGCAAAAGCAGTAAGAAAGCAGGAATTGGTACGGTTTTCTCAAGCAAAGAAGAGTCACTCGGGAATGTGTCCCCCTAGCTCCTTAATTAGGTCTCAATTGTAATTACCATGGGTTGATTTACTGTTGATTAGACTGCGGAAGATCCGACAGTATCTTGGAATCTCTTAAGCTGACCAAGCCCTCTCAGTCTAACTATCCGGCAGACGACTAGTCTTCACCGGGATAGAAAGCTGAAGCAAAAAGCACAGAACTCCATTACTGGAATTGGATTCCAGTACAAAGCAGTAAACTGGCTAACTCTCTTATAGCCAATCTCCTACTAACGAATGAAGAAGCTCTAACAACCTAATCAGATTCTATCTATCTCAGGTTGCAGGAGAAATCAAGAAAAGCTGATCAGACTTCAATCAATTCAATAAAACATGCATCATTCGATTAAAACCAAACAGTATAATCATCCCAAGTCATTACAATCAAATCCCTAACACATGGAACTAGGGTTCTTCATACCCAAGTGAGAGAAGGGTTCTACTCCATAGAGAGAGAGAGAGAGGAAAACAGAATACAAAGCAGTCATACTCATAACAATGGGAAGAATTTGCTCTGGGATGATGATTTCTACTCCTATGACAATCTCCAAGCTTGATTTGATCAAACCCGACTCCAAGATTTCTTCTAGGATGTGTTCTTCGCACTTTCTCTCTCTAGGGCTCTGTTTTTGCTCTGCAAATCGATCCTCTCACTTGTGGCCCAAAATTGGGTAAAAACCAGAAAATCCCGATCACACGGGCAGGCCACACGACCGTGTGGCATACCCAGATGCCCGTGTGAGATACAAAATGCGGCGTTTCCAATAATTGCACTTCAGGCTACCTACACGGCCAGGGACACACGGCCGTGTGGCTCACCCAGTCTGCCCGTGTGAAGCCTTGCATAATCCTACACGGCCACATTGCTCCTTCACACGGCCGTGTGGGTTTTATTCCTGCCCGTGTGGCTTCCTCAGCGACTCGCCGTACGTCCGATCTTCGTCCAATCGACCCCGAACTCGCTCCCAAAACTTCATTCACGTACTAGGACCTGAAATATCACAAACAAGCACAACCTAGCGTGAAATCGACATAAAACACGAGAATCAACACCTCAAACATCAACATACTGGCTTTCAAACATCAACACACTGGCTTTCAAACATCAACACATGAACAACCTCAATAGCAACCTGGACAACGACCACAGAAGACATTCGAGTGCAACAAAATCGAGTAAAGGAGGAGTCTCCCTTCTGTTCATCAACCAACCTAGACTTGACTCAACCACTTACTCGAGACAGTCAACTCATGCATAAAACTCAAGACATCAGAATCAAGACCGAGCCATCTAGGTCTTCACCGGGTAAAGAGTGTAAAGAACAAGGAAATGAATCGCTCACTCTCGACCAGTGGGGTCAGGACAATTTGATGCGAAAAATGCGCATACTTATTCTCTCAATTCCTAACATCTCTTCACCATGATGGCAGCCTTTAAATGTTAGAGTTCACATAAATGGTTGTCATCACTAACTAATCCGGAGGTCTTAGACACAGGTTCAAGTGACTGGCTAGGGTCTTGGACATGGGGAAAAGGCCTTTTAGGTGGTGGAAGTATTCATAGCACAAGGTTCCACATTTCCAAACCCAACAAGCTCACAGTCAATCAAACCAGTACTTTCTTTCTGCTATTCTGCATTACTCAAATTCTTCAGAGCACAAGAGCGAACGAGGTCACATAAATGCTAGTATTTCTAAGACAGACTGCTAAGAAACACTACTTAATGGGCACTATTCAGATTTTTGGTGGTGGCTCTCTTTTGCTTTCATTTTTTTCTTTGTTTTTCTTTCATTTTTTTCATTTCTTAAGAGCACCACCACCTCTGGACATTTTTCAAACACATGCCCAACTTTTAAAGAACTACCTCCAACTCTCACATTACATTTAGCAGAAACAGCAGAGAACGTGTAAAAATCACTCTGTGGAACCTTCTAAAAGATGCAAAAGGGTGATTTTTCATTGTAGACCTAAAGAAAGGAGAACACACGGCTCAAAGGCGCTGACTAGGGGGTATGACGCACCAGGACAGTCAATTTGGTTGTGGGCTAATCCTATGCCTCCATCATCTTAGCTAATGACAACGTGAATGCTACACATCATGGAAGAGGGAACTATTGCACAAGAAAGAAACGAGCAGGCTCGAATCTCACATGGCTACCTATATGCTCTATCTGTCATTCTGATTCCCTGAACTAGATGCATAAACGACTGTCAAGAACAAGTAATCAATCCAAGTCACAGTTGGTAAGAAAACAGTTGAAAAACTGAACCCCTACACAACTCTACTGCACGTCTCAGTCATCATTATAGGTTGTCCTAGTCACCATCCAGTTGTCATGCATTAATCCGAAAACCATTCGATTCACCAATCCAAACATAGTGCCAATATGATCAAACAGCCGTACTTGGAGCCCTCAAATTTCGAGATTTGGACAGCGGACTAGGCTCCAAGCACACGTCTAAAGATTCAAACCGATACAAAGCACCTCCCCACACTTAAGCACGACATTGCCCTCAATGGAGTATAGGAAGAGATAAGGGGAACGATGTTACCAGATTGAAATGCTGCGGGAGACTAGTAGTGGACCAGTCAGCGGTTAACATATGAAACGAACGGGCAGTTCTGCACTAAGGGAACATCAAGAACACTAGCACACCGTGCGTTAGGGATCAGAGTTGGCCCAGATGGCCACAAAATAAAAATCCACAAAAGAAAGAAAAAAAGACAAAACAACCGATAGACTCAATTCAAGCTCCTCAAACACATGGAGCAAACATAAAAAGTCTAAAACAAAAACACACACTGAGGGGCGACAAGTACAGCCTACTCGTCGCCGAGGTTGTCCAGATCGATGTCATTCATGAATGTATCATCATCATCACTTGGTGGAGGTGGAAGTGGAGAGTCCTCCCAGGGAGTCCTCCAGACTGGCTGCTCGCCTGGTAGCAGCTGGAGCAGGTGCTGCTGGACCTCCTGCATGCGCCGAGATTGGGCCTGCTCTCTCTCGATGCGAGCCAGGGTCACCCCCTGCTGGGTCTCCATCCGATCCAGATGCTCATCATAAGCGGCCATCCGGGTCTGGTACTCGGCATGGTGAGCCAAATACTGCTGCTGGAACTAGAGTTGATGGTCGTAGAGCTGCTGATTCTGGAGTCGCAGCTGCTCGAACTGCTGAGTGAAGTAGTCCTGGCCGGGGAAAGTGGAGCTGCCACCCCCGTACTTGAAGGTGGTGGGGCGGGCGGCAGCAGTGTCATCCACATCCTCGGGATGGACCTCCTCATCAGTCGCATCCTCAGGAACCTCTGGCTGGTCCTCCTCTGGGATCTGAGGTTGAGGAAACCCCTCGATCCACTTGACTCCTCGCTCTTCTCGAAGCAGGTGCATGCGACCTATCATAAATGCGCCAAAGACACTGGTGTCTCCCTGCTCTGTGCACCCCTGCAGTGATATCTGGAAGTAGGCGGCCAGGCGGGTGATGAGGGGAGTGCAGTGGAGTTTCTTCAATTCGGAAGCACTCTTGTCGAAGGTCCTCGCCACCACCGAACCCAAGAGGAGGGGATGATCCCTCTGGCGCATAGACTGGATGAAGTACATGGCTCTCTTGGTGATGGCGCTGGCACTGTCCGAGGCTGGAGTGTAAGACTTGGCCAGCAAGTGATGGAGAATGAGGTTGTCAAGCTGCAATGTGCTGGCCTTCGTCTTCCCCGCCGAGAAGGGACGATGGCCTGGCCGAGCGAGGCGGGTGTACATTGTCTTGAAGTTCACCCCCTCTGGCTCGAGAAGCTCGGTGACGTAGTCCCTGTCATCGACCACGCCGAGGTCGAGGGCGGTCGCCAGCTCGTGGTAGCTCATGGATCGGGGTGCACCGCCGAGCCTGAACTTGACGGCTTCTCCGTCCTTCCAATTCGCCGTGTCGGCGGGCTGGAAGGTCGTGTAGAACTCAAGCACGAGCTCGTGGTAAACCTTCTCGCGAATGCAGAGTAGGCGGTGCTAGGGGCGGTTGGTGACAATGGCAGAGAAGTGCTCGTAGCATTGCAGCTTCTCAAACTCCCGCTTGGACCGGCAATGATGCTGCCCAAACTGGCAGGCCAGGGCGCTCTTAAAACGATCCTGGTGGGGACCCCTCCTCAAATC